CTGGCTTGGGGGGTCTGCGGGGCGCTCGCGGGGTGCTGGTTCAGGGAGGGAGGGAGCGCTGTGCTCAGCTGCGACCTGCCTGCTCTGTCCCGCAGGCTGCACCCAGAGGGGGAAGGTGGGCTCTGAACCGGGGGTCCCCTTCCATGAGAGACCATCTGCTGCTCAAGCATCCTGGCTTGGAGGAGGTGGTTGGGGAGCTAAAGTGGGCTCAGCACCCTGGGGACCTTGGGCTGCATCTGTGGGGAGCTCTATTCCCCTGTGCCCCGCTTTGCAGCCTTGTGGAGTAGGGCCAGCCCCTGGGCTAGCCTGGGCCAGCTATCCTGGAGGTGTCGTTGCCCACTGCATCCCCAACTGGGACGCAGAGCCAAGCAGCAGCACACTGGCTGCTTGAGGCACAACGCAGGGTCTCTGCCGCATTATGACGAGCCTCTTCTACCTTTTAGTTGCCGCAATGCTGGAGAGTGAGCCCATACAGGGCTTATCCTCCTCCTGCCCTCCTGGCCACCGTCGGTCCTCGTCAGCCCCTGCACACACGCTGCCCGAGCTGCTGCAGCAGCTGGGCTCCTTCCGTGCAGCACTGGACCGCCATGGGCTGGCCCCCAGTGTGGGGCACCAGGCCCTGCGCCAGCTCCTCTTCCTCGTCAGTGGCACCACCCTCAACTACCTGCTGCTGAGAAAGGACACGTGCTCCTGGAGCCGTGGCATCCAGCTCAGGTCAGTCCCATGCGGGATGGGTGTACCTGGGGGAGCTGGGGCACACCCCGTGCCTCCCCCTGACCTGGTCTCTCTGGCAGGTACAACATCAGCCAGCTGGAGCAGTGGCTGCGGGCAGAGGGGCTGCAGCAGAGCGGAGCCCGCGAGGTGCTGGAGCCCCTGGTCCAGGCTGCCCAGCTGCTGCAGGTGAAGAAGGTGACGGAGGAGGACGCTGGAGCTCTCTGCAGCCTGTGCACAGTGCTGTCACCCCAGCAGGTACCGGCAGGGTTGGGGCTCGCTGCCTGCTGGCCACTCATCCTATCCTGGGGGTCCTTGGCCTGCCTGGGCGCACCAGGGATGCACTGGGGTGGGGACCACCCCATAGCCAGAAGTGTCTGGATGTGCCCAGCCCTTCCCTGTTCATGATCCCCACCATCTCCTCCAGGTTGTGAAGATCCTCCGGGCTTACACCCCGGCTGTCGGGCTGGAGGAGCGTATCAGCCCCAGCTTCATCAGCAGTGTTGAGGTAAGCAGGACCTGGGGTCCAGTGCTGTGGGGGCATCTGTCCCATGTGGGCCCCCTCACTGGGGCAGCCCCTAGATGATGAACACTGTGTCTCTGCAGAAGCAGCTGCAGGACCAGTATGGAGAGGGACCCAGCCAGCTCCTGGTGGACACCAGCCACCTCTTCCCTGTACACCTGCCCTTCACTGCCTCCCCCCTCCACCTGGATGAGCTCCGCATCCCTGATGCCCTCAACCTGGCCTTCCTTGTCCACCTCTGAGCCCAGGTCTGGCCCTGGGCCAGTGGCCCAGTGAGGGGTGTCCGGACACCCTGAGGTGTGGGAAGGCCATGAAGACTGGGGCTGCAGCACTTTTTATGGGTATTGTTCTTCTGGGAAGCTGTTTATTTATTGAAACTGAGGTGCCTTGTTTGTAGCACAGCCAGGGCCCGTGGCAGTCCTGCGCTGGGGGTTTTGGCCACTTTTTAATCCTTTGAAGCTAATAAAAGTCTTTGCAGATAACTTCTGAAGTCTGAGGCTGTCTGGAATGGGTGCACTGTTTGCAGAGTGGTGTGAGGGAGCCTGAGGACCATCACTGAGGCATTCTTGGTGCTTTTCATGAATTATGGAATGGTTTGGGTTAGAGATGACCTTTAAAGATCATCTAGTTCCTTCCTTTTGCAGGGGGCTGGGACATCTTTCACTAGGTAATGTTGTTCAAAGCCCCATCCAACCTGACTTTGAATGCTTCCAGTGATGGTGTTCCACAAGTTCACTGGGCAACCTGTTCCTGAGTCTCAACACCTTCATTGTAAGACACTTCTTCCTTAACTCCAACCTAAACCTGCCCTCTTCCAGTTTGTTCCAGAAGGGCAGCTGGGCCCACAGAGGTCCCTGAGGCTCTTTGGAGGGTAGCAGGGTCCTACACAGGCTCTGGCAAAGCACTGGTGAGTTATTCCACAGGCAATTAGGAGAAAACTCTGGGTGGCTAGCCCCTTGTCCTTATGCTGAAACTATGCCAAGTCAGGTGTAGCAACAAGTAGATGTGCAGGTGCCCAAGCGGAGCTAGAATTCATAGTCCCTAAAGAAGGGGTGGCCAACAGACTTGGAACAGCGTTATCTGCTTTCTGTGAAGACACATGAGGATTTATTTTGAATTATTTAGCTTAGCTGATTACTTAAAGACTTTAAGACCCTTTAGCGTGGTAGGGTTAGGAGTGTTGGCCTGAGTAATGTCACCAACAAGGGCATTTCTAGAAGGGAAGTTTGGTGCAGTTAATAATGGTTGGGCCTCCTCTTGAGAAGCATAAATGATGTGCTAGCCCTGGTATCTATCTACTGTCACCTTCCTTGCCTGACCATAACCACACGCCTGTCCATAATCTACAGGAAAGTAGATTTCTGAGTTTGTCTGCTACTGATGACTCCTTCCAAATTCCCAATTTACTCTGCTTTGACAAAAAGACGCAAAGTGATAATCAGAGAGGTGTGTTCAAAAGGAGTCATGTTAGCAACATCATCTTGTCAGATTTCAGGTGTAAATAATTGTGTGCTCTTCCCTGAAATATCTATGCAGTTCCAGTCAGACCCTGTCTCACAGCATCCTGTCTTAAGATCTGAGGATTTGCAGTATCTCCTGAAGACAGCCTCTGCATTTTTTCCTAAACAGGATTTATTTGAGGAGTAGGTGAACTAATACCATGGATATGCGGTGTCCTGGTCTTGAATTATACGGGCTTTGGCATCCTTAGGATCGAGAGGTGCATGAAGAAGGTGGTAGCATGAGGTGTCGTGAGAGTCATGACTCAGAGTGACTTGAACTTAAACGTAAGAATCCAGCTATTTTCCACGCTATAACTGAGGTGAGATTTGTTGGTGGGAAGATGGACTCGTAGGGCTGCGGTCCCCAGCAGCTCTGTCCAACACCGAGTGCCACATCGCGCAGGAGCATCCACCTCACCATCACCGACCCTGGTGCGCACCCAGCTGTACAGTTCTCCGCATTCAGTTATGTCTGGAGCGGGATTACACACCGAGCTGGGTGTGCAGGGACTTTGGTTTTCCACGCGAGGGTGCTGTCCACATTGGCAAAGGCCAATTCAGGTTTCCAGTAGAGCACATGATAACCCAGCAAGGCACCAGCGAGATCAGAGCCAAACTGGCCATCAGGCCCAGTCAGAGCTTTATTTGGACTCGTCGAACAGGATTTCGGAGGGTGACTCGTCTATAGGCTATAACTAGAGGACTTGTTTGACAGCTGAACACAATATTGTCCTGCTCACAGTGGGCAGCTGGTGGATAAATGATCACACTTGAGAAAAATCTGGTTTTCTTACTCATAAATATACTGTAATATCATAGAATATAAACACTATACATGTAGTACATAAACACTAATGCATCAGGGGT